GGTATTCAAGTGATCGCAAGCTCAGAAAACTCTACTTCAGGAAGAGATTTCTCAGAACGTTTTCAAGAGAGCTTTGCTGTTGGCCTTGGCTAAATCTATTTATGATTACACAGCGTGCTCAATATCTATATCTGTCTTCCAATTGGCTTTAACTGGAAGCATACAGTTAATTTTGCCAACTAATCCGTAACCGCAAAAAGGTGCCAAAGAGCTCATTAGCGAACTAACAGTTTAACTTTATGTGTAAACCTTTTTCTACCCTGAATTTCTTTTATTCTCAAATCAACCCAAAAATCTCCCCCCCCCCAAAATAACCAGACTCCCCCACTCCTTGAGATCTAAAAGGGTTCACATCCAGGGAATCTAGATTAAAAGGCTTACTTTAAAGTGACACATGAACCTACGAACCTGTCCAACGTTCTCATAACCTTCAGTTTCGTCCTTTTTCTTCATCTGGGCAACATCTGCGTTTTCATAAAAGGCGTTCATTTGCTGCAGCCCTTGATAAAGGTTTTCCACAGAAGCCACAGAACAAAGCCCAGAATACACAGGTGTTCCTCTTTCTCTTGAACAAGGAACAGCATTGTTCTCCTCAACCATCTCAATGTTTTCCTGTTTGTCTCTCCTGGTATTTTCTTTCTTTCCATATAAGTGATGCCAGAGCCTCCAACTTACAAACCCCGTGCCCACAAGAGATACGGAAAGTAAAACGCCCAAGACAATCACAGTGACCGTAAGTTGCTGAATATGTGCCTTTGTGCCACCTGAGAAAAAATAGAGGTTGGAACTCTATGACCATGTTTACAACAGCAGGGTCAAGTTCGTAAAAAACGTCAAAACGATACGTCTTTTACGTGTAATATAAGAATAAAAGCAGCAACATTAATAATGCCCTTTGTATTAGGAGCTGCAAGTGAGGGTAAACCCTTGCAATTGATGATGTCAAAGCCATGATGTACGCTATTGACAAGCCTCCTCCTACAGTTTTGGTCTATAACGTAACGGCCGACCTCTTTTAATTTTATTGGTCTTGACCCAGCCTTTCACGCAGGAGACATGTCCAGGTTTGCACGCAGCTTCGAATTTTGCAAAAAAATGGAAACTTTGTCAGATCAGTGAAAAGCAGTGAAAGAGGGAAGCTGAGAGGACCCCAGCTTTAAGTGTCGCGCAGGACGCAAGTGAACGCTTGGTCTATTGCATAAAATGGTGTGACCAAAGTCGACGGCGGTGACCCCTTTGCGCGAGCCAACAGCGCTCGCAGATGCTCTACATGAGTGTATCGCCTTTACCAAGTTGACCCGGCTGGGCAACCAAAGTGTTGATATGGAGAAACGTTGCCTGGTCTAGGAGAGTGACCTCGCCATCGAACTGAAGGGTAACCCGGCTAGGGGGGGTTAGCCTTCTAGTCGAGCCAAACGGTTCGCTACGTTCTGTAAGGAAATGTATGAAAAGTTGGTTCGCCCAGAATAGCTCGGGTAGGTGAGTGACCTTTTTACCCTGGACAAGTTTTCTTCACGTAATCGGGGCCAAAACCTATTGCATTTTTAACGGTCTCGTTGCCGTCGCCATAGTTACATCAGGGAGCTTAAGCAACGACGACGGCGACGTCAACGAGAACGGCTTAAGGGCAAAAGGTTAAGATGAGCAAAACAACACCTCTGCTCGTGTATCAAGCTTTTTTGTACATTTCTTTGCCGTCACTGCACAACTACGACGTTAAAATGCCTATTTTCACGTTTTGTTGAGAACGTGAACACAAGGCAACGACTTTCTTCTTCTTTTACTGAACTTCGATACAGTCTTTTAGAATTGAACTCAAGAAAAGATTGGCAAGATTGACGAAATGAATGAGAGAGAGTAGACTCGATAAAGTTTGAAGCAGCGCGACATCACTTTTTAAGTGACGTTTTGGTAGCCGTCGCCGTCGATTTTTCTTAAGTTCCCTATTTTAATTTCTCCGATGATTGCCTTGCTACGACTGCTGACGTAGTGCGAGAATAGTGATTATGACGATGTTGATGAATATGGTGATAATGATAATGATGACATGACTCAGTGACGAAACATACAGATCCGTTTAGTCTGGCTTGCATTCCAAGTACCAGCAGATTTTGTGTTTTTCTCCTGTCTTTGTAAGGATGGAGAAACAAAAATAGGAGATCCTTAACAGTAAGACGGGATGGGGAGGGCAGATAATTAGGCCATTGAGTGTAGGTGCTGACACCAGATTGCTTAACCAATAAAGGGATCCGATTGACTTTACCTTTGAATCTTTTTCTTTCTGCGGCTGGAAAATTCGTGGAAAAGTCTCTTTCAGAATCTGAGAATGAAACGTAGATAAGGAATTTTAATCATTCTTTGCAATACAAATATAACAAAAATACTTAATATTTTGATGTTAACGCTGGCGATATCAATTTTAAGGCGTTGATTTTAAGTGTCCAGAATCTTCTGGAAGGATAATGGTAATGATGGTGATGATGATGATGATGACGGCGATAATAGGGACCTCAGGTAACGACGACGACAACAACATCGTCGAAAAACAATTGGTTTTATGAGCAAAACAACAGCTCTGCACGCGCCGTGCATCACGCTTTTTAGTACATTTCTTTGACGTCCACTGCACGACTACGACGTGACACCTCCCAATGCGACGATTTATGGAGGAAGTGGACATACTACGACAAATTTTCCTTTCCTTATTTGAACATGTATAAAGCCCTTAAGAATTCAACTCCAGGAAAAGTCGCCTACATTTGACGAATTGAGCGGTTCCAAATAGACGCGATAAAGTTTGAAAGGACGCAAATTCATTTTTTTAGTGATGTCTTCACTGCCGTCGTCGTCGTCGTTGCTTAAGGTCCCTAATGATAATGATGACGACGACGATAATGATGACGATGACGATGATGAGGATTTCGACGACATGATGGTAATAACGCTCCTGCCATTGATGACGCCGCATTACGATTAGAATGATGATAGTAAAGATGATGGTTGTTGGTAATTACGATGATGATGATGATGATGATGATGATGACGATGATAAGGAGAAGGAGGATGCTTAAGTCCCGTTAAGTAATGGGCCTGGAAAGCTGTTGTCGTTTACATTAAAGATCAAATTTTCAGTAGTTTTGCAGGTCATATTATAAAAGCATCAGTTAACCAAACAAAATGGACTGGTTTGTTAGCTAGGAGCCGCCCTTTTATTCTTTAAATATTGATTTGAATATTTGATTTTGGGGCCGAAAAGTTATGCGATTCTGCAGGGAAAAAATTTCCCGGATTACACCAGGCGAGTGCTTAGTGACAAAATTCCCCGGATTACACGAGGCGAGTACTTAGTGGAAAAATTGCCCGGATTACATGGGGTGGGTGCTTAATTGATCATTTTCAGTATACCAGATAACCAGAACTGAAACTCAAAGGAGCCCTTAATCCATAAATAACTCGTGTCTTCTTTTATCATTGTTATATTCTTATTGTCATGTACTTGGTTTACAATTTTGTAATGTAAAATTGACTCTGAAAAGCCCCGTGGGGACGAGCCAATAAAGTATGTATGTATGTATGTATGTATGTATGTGGATAACTTATTGTTAAAAAAAATAACAATTTGGCTTGTTATATGGCTAAGTCTGTTCTCGTCCCGTGATTGCTCAATTTGCGGTCCATAACTTACTGTACAGACCAAAATTCTTAAAATAAATGGCCATTGTGCAGTTAACCAAGCCCTTAATCTAGTCTTTTTTTAATGAGAACGAAGTTGATGAAGAAAGTGCATCGTACCGAGGAAGAGAATTTTAGTCAGTGTCTGAAAGTTTTAGCGCAGGTCACAACTGAAAAGACGAGAATGGACTAGCAGGGATTCGACACGTTTTGCTAAAGAAAATTAACGAGCGAATCCTTCGACAAAGGCAACAAACTTACTTTGACAAGCGCCTTTGCTATTTGCAGTGTTTTTCATTATTTTTTTTTTTTTTGACAAAGACCAACGAAGGAAAGATGAAACCGACTTCGAGACAGACATGGTGTCCAGTTTCCAAGTGCTCCAGTGTTACATTGGCGAGCTAAACCTTACAGTGCTCTTAGTTTTGACCGAGTAAACTTTTTCAGTATGGCGCATTTTTTTTCACTTTCTCGGAAACCCTTTGTTATGTGCTATTGTTTTCGTGAGCCAATACAACTTTCTTTTTTGACGCCTGTCAAATGACTGTCAAATCGCGTGTCCTGTTCTTTTTTCCGGTCCCCCAAACAGGAAGCCATATAATAAACATCTTATTAGCCTCCTTTTCTTCGTCCGTACCCTCGCCATAAATCGATGGAAAAAAAACTCGGTCCGTAATTTTTAGTACGGACCGAGAACTAGGCTAATAAGACGTATTTACGATCGTTATATTCCAATGCCACTGCTTGGCTTGACTCCTGTAATCAGTCGTACTTCAATAGTACCAAGACACAGCTGTAATGTTTTCGCTTTCGAAAGATCTGACGGTAATATTTAGCTGGAAAAACTACGGATTCTCGGTGTCGGCACTAAAAAGGTTTTCCTGTAGAGTTCCTCAGGGTTCAATACTAGGTCCTTTGTTATTTTTAAAAGGATTATTTTCAAGGCTAGGCAAAGAATCCTTTTTTATTGTTAAAATGTATATTGATGAGATCGAATTCATTTTGCTACTAAAGGTGATGATACACGGGGCGATTCGCAACGACGATTTTTAGCGTAACATAGCGTTGCAATGCTGGAACAATGTTATAACCATTCGAAACAATGTCGCAAAAATGTTGCAACGCTGTGTCGTGCTAAAAATCGTCGTTGCAAATCGTCTCGTGTAACATCACCTTAAAAGGGAGCAGAATAAATAAGTTATCTGAGAGTGTGTGACCGTTGTTTATAGACGAAAGAGGAAAAAAAATCAACGCAATTGTCTCGTAGCACTACTGTCTGTTGTAGTGGCAGTAGTACCAGAGGACAGCTTCTTTAGACAACATGATGATCAGCACGACACAGCCTTTACTTCTACGCTGTACGTACCTGATATGCATACTACACAAGCCTCCTTGTATAAACAATAGGAGCCGTTAAAAATCTCGTGGCGACACTGTATTAATGACATCTCATTTCCTGCACACTGAATTCCATACATCAATTTTGTTCCTGGGAAATCCGAGGATGTAGCTGCTGCCACAGCTCCTTGAAACTCAAGCTGACGGCAAACCACGTTGGCTTCCTTTATATCCCAGTGGGTACCGCAAACTCCTGCCCATGATCCATTGAAAAGCATTTGAACTCGGCCTTGAGATGTAGCATTACCCCAACCAACCAATCTAACTGTGATTAAAGGAAGGAAAGATTTTAAACGGTTATCGTTATTTATTAATTTATTAATTTATCTATTTTAAGAATGGGAGGAGTAAATACAGCGATTTGCAGTTCAACAGAGCAAGATGAACAAGAAAACTCGCTAACAAGTTCGCGTGCGAAAAAAGACTAAGAGTAGTCATTGATAGCCTTCAAGGATGCTTGCAACGTTTGCAAACTGCTCCGAGCAAACTGTTAACCAGATTTTTAATTATGCGGGGGAAGGCTGCGAAGTTGCCATCAAAAGAACATCCGCTTGAATTACTGGAAACCGTTCACGCTATAGCTGACCATAGTTTGCTACAAATATCGAGAAGAAAACGTGGGGAAGCTTACTTCAAGCGATTTAAAACGTTACCAAAACGCAAATGACCACGCTTAAAGCATACGGCAAGTAACTTTACTCACGTTTCTTAAATTATGTCGACATTTGGAGTCAAAAAGTGCAAAATTCTTTATCCTATAATGCATTTCACTCGATTGATGACTTAAACCAAGTCTAGAGCGGCAGTAAATGGCAGCAAATATATGAGGGCTGCCTGGAACTGTTTCTTTTTTTTTTTGCGACGATGAATATCATTTTGCCGTTGTAAATAAACTTAATCATTATTCTTTGAAATGTTGCTGAATGTTGGCACCAGCAGTAGTTACCCACGGCATTCTGCCATTATTCACCTCGCTTTCAAATAACAATAATATTGTTAACCTGTAACAAATTCAGTATTTAAATGAGGTATGTCTGTCAACGGGCAATACGGTCTTCCAATACATCACAATCACACGGTGCGTCTTAAAAGTATTAGAACAATAAATTTTAAATTCTAAATGTCTAGTACTTTTCTTTCTGCTTTTATCTTACCCTTTGGCTGACATACAACACCAGCTTTAACCCTGCAGTCACGTGTTCCTAAACCGCCATGCTCACATAAAAAGAGAGAACTTTCGTTTCCAGTACATTGCATGCTATTAAGCCATGCTGTGGGTTTCGCCTGAATGGTTTTTTCTCTATCATAAAACGCAGACAGTGATCCATGAAAGCCCAGCATTCTGCAAGCCACATCAGCATCGTGTTTGTCCCACTGATCTGCACAAACCCAGCCCCAAGTGTTGTTATGGTAAACTTGCACCAGTCCTTCTCGGAGAGATTTTCCTTCAACTAAACGAGCTGACGAAAAAAAAAAAAAGCATGAGAGGTAGGGTCTACAGTCAAGTACTTTGTTTCGAAGTTAAATGTAAATGATCACAGTAACGTTGATTGGTTAAATCAATTTTTAATCAAACAATAAATCAATCAAGCAAACTTTATTTAAACATTTAAGTCCCAATATCCACACACAAATTCTCCAAACTGATCTCTATACATTTCCTTTAAGAATTAGTTAAGAGAATTTGATAAAAGATCAAGGCATTTTCTCTTGGGTGATCATTTTATTAATTCTCGTAACCTCATCTCATGACAATGCATGGATATCGTGAGGAGAAAATTGCTGTTGGTCACTATTGGGACTTAAACGAGGGTGACACGTAATAGGGGAAAAACACTAATAAACTTGTGGTCCTCACCTATGGAATTAAAAATATAAAAATGTTAAAAATATATATAAAAAAGTAAAATTAATTATAAGTGGATAAGGCTAGAAACTACATATAAACAAATAGGAAAAGTCTAAAAACTACAAGTTTGAAACGTTGCCAGCTGCTTGTGCCTTTCTTGAAAAGACAGAAAATGTCTGTATAAACTAGCTTTAAAACATTAATTGCATGAACTAGAAGTCCTTAATTTTAAAAGTAAGCTCAATTCCAGAGTTTGCTTACCGTTGCAGAAAAAAGAGTGACCGGCCTCTCTTGCCCTCGCATTAAGCGCGGTGTGCGAACTCCCAGTTGTTCTGCCGTGATGCTCACTATTGAGACTAAGTAACCGTGGAATAGCTTAATCAAAAACAGTGAAAAATATTTTCCTACCTGTCGTGCATACCACACCTGCGAATTCATAACGACTACAGTACACTGATGGTCCTTGATTGTGTTCACATTCTGTTAATGAGCTCTCATTCCCTGCACAGTTTACGTTATCCATCCACACAATTCCTTTTCCTTTTCCAAAAGCCGCACTCGATATCGCTGACAAAGCTCCTTCGAAGCCGAGTTGTCTGCAAACCACGTTAGCGTCCCTTGAATCCCAGTAGTCAAAACAAACTCTTCCCCAGGTTCCTCTATGAAACACTTCCACTCGGCCTTGCGACGTCACATTACCTCCACCAACCAATCGAACTGCCGTGAAAAGAAAAGTTAGCTGCAACTTTAATAATAATAATAATAATGATAACGGTTTAATATCAGTACATCCATGGTATGGCTCTTCGCCTGATATAAGAGTAAAATAAGGAAAATAAAAAAAATAAATAAATAAAAAAAAAATTTAAAAAGGAACTTTAAATGCATAGTGCAGAAGTCAGAATTTTTTTTTAATAACAATATTAGTCAGTTGAAACTACCACAAGCAAATTTACACATATATCCTATCTGCTAAAAGACTGAGGGTTTGTTATTGGCCTACGAGTAGATTCACAAATGTAAATCTCGCATTTATCTTTGTTACCGATCAGTCGTATTTCGCACCTTTTGATCGGCATAGTACACCAGCTTTCCTTTCACCTTCACAGTCGTGTGACCCGAGACCTTCATGAACGCACTCAAATAAGGAACGTTCATTTCCGACGCAACTCAAGCTCTTCAACCACACCCGACCCTCTCCAATCTTCTTCTTTTCTGTGTACACAATATCTGCTGTTAACGCTCCATCAAAGTCCAGCATTCTGCAAGCCACATCAGCATCGTGTTTGTCCCATTGATTAGCACACACCCAGCCCCAAGTTTTGTCGTAGTAAACTTGAACAAGTCCTTCACTGGATGTACGACCACTGACAAGACGAGCTATGAAAGGACAGAAAGGTGCAGAATTTATGCATAAGTTAATATCGTGTATTAAGAAATCTCATTCGTTCGCCAGTTACGCTCACTTGTTCCATATTTCATACAAAAACACAAGTAAATAAATATCGTACAAAGCACCTTCCATGTCGTAATGTGTTTATTAGGTGCATATACTGAGACATTCATCATTCTTCCACCAGTCTTTTATATTACTCTTTTTTTAAAGCTAAAATGTTAAAACTAGCCGCTACACAAAAAAAATGACAAAGAAAACAAGTGAACTTAATATTTCGACAAAAATAGACTGAAATTATAACAAGGGTAACTGATATAAATAACACAGGAACCACAAGTGATCTCAACTTTTTTTTAAAATCAGTTAAAAATGATCGATTGCAAAATCAGCGGCAATTGGTGTGGAAAAGCCGGTTGGAATAACACAAGGCAAAATTATATATCAAGCTGTCGTTTTGCAGGCTAACAGACAATTTTCTTCCGTTACAATGGATGAAGGAAGCTATTCTCGAAATGTCACTGAATTGCTCACTTGTCTACGAGAAAAACTCTCCTTTATAGTCTCAACCAATTTTGTCTTTGAATGACCGCGAGAGAGGTCGTAGCAGTGAAGCGCTGAAAGCACCCATAAAAGGCGGGAAACTTTGCACGAGACTCTCACACCTCCGTGGCTTTTGATTGAGACGCCTTTTTTTCACACCCGTGAAATGATATCATTTGCGATTCTGATTGGACGTACTATTTTTCTCACGTGATAAAAACAGCGTTAGTTCCTCTGATTGGCTATAACTCATTCGCGTTTGAAAGTTTACGACTTAGTTTTTCAGTGATTGCATCTCAGCATTTATATAAATACTATTCAGGTAATCATCGATTAATAAGTGCGTTCGAGTTAATAACTTTTCTTCATAGCTCCACGTTAAACTTTATACCGTCAAGCATTATATTTTAAAGTAGGGAAACTTAGATCACGAAAAACTTTTTACAAAGTAAACATTCTTTCTATACTCTTCGCGTAAACGGCTTCAACTATGGTAGATCAAAATGTGAAGTACAACTCGCAAAAAATCCTATTTTGTGAAAAAGATAATTAAACATATCACTCCAAACTTTAAATTAAAGCAAGATGACCTCGAAGGTAAAACTGGCTTCCTGCGTGACACAACTTGATGTGAAAATGATTATAGGAACGACAGGTGAAACAGAAAAATCTTTTTACATTATGCGAACTAACTGTTCATCTGCCTAATTTCAGTTCATGTAGGTCAATTCATCATATTTTACTTTCTTGGCGGCCGAGATGGTCTAATCAACAAAATCCGCCGTAGATTTATCAGACGAGGATAAAGCATTACATATGTGATAAACATAATCACTGATACGTGAGTAAAATTCTTTATATGTACTTTATCCCAGAATGTGCATATTTTTCGTGCACGTGAGAAGCAAAAACTACAAATATATAAAAATACTCACTGATAGACTCAAACGCACGGGTAAATTCCTCACGGCACAAAATAGTGTTAACTGTATTTATTTGTGTCTTTCTAGGAAGTTACAGCTCGATTTGACCTGTATATTAGCAGAGAAAGGTATACGTGTAGCAGTGAAAGTGATATTTTCTGGAACTCGGAGTAAATGTATTATTCAAAATGGCGCACAAAATGCAGAAGTACGACGAAAAATGCTTCCTGAAAAGGTCACTCTTGAGCACTACGGGACATCCAAGTACCACAGGAATCCCAAGATTATGTGTTGCGTTCCTCTTACGTCGAACGTAAGAATAAAAGTTAATATATGTGAAAAGTACACTAAAACTTCAGGTAACCAACTTTGCGAGGTAATTCATGCATAAATGAAGACAAAAATAAATATTAGTGCGGTACCTGACTGGCTACATTACAATGTACACTGTAATTTTCAGGGAGTTATAATAACTCCTCTAGTGGGGCTAATTTAACTCCTTACAGTGGAGTTATTTTTCCTGGAGTTATTTTAGCTCCAAAAAGGAGTTTAAAGAACTCTTTTTCAGGAGTAAAAGTGACCCCAGATATTGAGGAGTTAAAATAACCCCAAAAAAGGAGTTATCCTGTACCTAAAATTTTTACTCCACTTTCAGAGTTAAATTAACTCCAAAAAGAGTAAAAACAACCCCTGTAAGGAGTACAAGTAACCCCATTTCGGAGTAATGTTAACTCCAAGACTGGGAGTAAAAAGAACTCTTTTTCAGGAGTAAAAATGACCCCAAATTCGGAGTTAAATTAGGAGTTAAAATAACCCCAAAAAAGGGGTTATCCTGTACCTAAAATTTTTACTCCATTTTTGGAGTTATAATAACTCCCTAAAAATTACAGTGTAGAGGGAAATATCTTGATCGTATATTCTTATCAAGGATATCTTAAATCATTGTCTTCGCAAAGGATTTTAAGTTAATCACCTGCAATGCACTCTACATGAGCACCCTCGTTATTACTACAGTAGTTCGACCACCCGCTTCGATGACACATTGTTAACGACGTTTCATTGCCCACACATAATCGCGCTTTAAACCAATTTTTTGTTTGATCTGAATTGTTTTTGCCGACAGTTGCTGTAACAGTTCTGAAAACCAGAGCTCCTGGAAATCCAAGTTGACGACAGATTATGTTGGCATGCTTCAGATCCCAGATATCATCTGAGTAGCTTTCACCGCACACTGGGTTCCAAGTTCCCTCGTAAAACACTTCCACTCGGCCAGTACCGAAAGATTCCATGTTGTCAGCACCAACTAAACGAGCTGTTGTGGAACAAATTATTTTCAAAGTTAGATTTGTCGTTTTGGCTCCTAATCGAAAACAAAAGAAAGTTAAAATACGGTTATGTGGTTCAATGTCGTCCTGACAAAGGCCTATCATTTCAGTTACCCTTTTTTTAGAGGCTGAAATCTCGGCTTTTAAGTTTTATGTATACCCAGTTTGTTTCTTTGTTTCTTTGTTTTGTACGTTTGACAGGTTGCTCACTCTAGATCTCTTGTGGATTCTTATTTTGGCTGGATTTCTGCAGGTGTGTGCACAGGTACACAAGGCTCATGTTACGAGAGGGAGCAGCTAATAAAACTCCCTTGCGTGGGGGGACCTGAGTTGTGTCCGCTGCTTTCACCGCCAAAAAGTCCCGCATGCTTTCGTATCAAGACAAATCAAAGACACGCTGGGAGAGTTTCCGTTCTTTTCAACGGATATTTGACCTGATTTTTTTATCGGTATTGAAGACAAAGACATTATTCAGATATATATTACCCTTTGGTTTGCACTTTACACCAGCTTCTCTTTTTCCTTTACATTTGTGTGATCTCTCTGAAATGTCATGGCCGCACAAAAGGAGAGAAGATTCATGTCCAGAACATTGCATGTTAATCAGCCACAACCCCACTCCTTTTCGCTTTTTCTCCTGAAGTGTAAAATTAGCTGATAATGATCCCTCAAAATCCATCATTCTGCAAGCCACATCTGCATCTTGTTTATCCCACTGATCAGCACACACCCAGTGCCAGACGTCTCTGTAGTAAACTTGCACTAAACCTTCACTGTGTGACTGCTTATGTACTAAACGTGCTGGTCAGATAGAATTAGAAAGAAATGTAAAAAGAATGATTAAATTAAGAATTCACTAAGACACAAAACTGAAGGATATCAACTTGGAAGCATTGGAAAGCACCAGTTCTAACAATGTAAGTTTTCAGGTTAGGAATCTATGGTATTGCCAACAAAAGGGAAAATAAAAGGCCATTAATTAAAGGCCACTATAAAATATAAAGGACCTGCATAATTGCAAACAACACCAGCATCTTCATAGTGACCACAGAAACTGTATCCTCCCACGCCACTGTGTCTGCATTCCCTTAATGCGCTCTCACTTCCTGTGCACCGAACGTAAGTCATCCATATCTTTCCTGTTCCTTCTCCGAAGGCCGCTAACTTAGTTGCTTTTAAAGCTCCTTCAAATCCCAGCTGTCGACAAACTACGTTAGCGTCTGCAAGGTCCCAGCCATCATCACACACTGTTCCCCAGGACCCATTGTAATAAATTTCCACACGGCCCTTGTGATGAGTGAAGTCACCACCGTCAAGCAACCGGACATCTGAAAAATTTTGTATCATAGACAGATATAGGCTATCTTAATTTGAGCTTAGCTTTAGAAGGCTAGGTTTACTTTGCCTTATTCAATTACTTAGTCTCGGTTACTTCACCCCTTCGTGAAATTTGTTTGACTACATCTAACACTTCACACACTCACTAATCAGAAAAGGACGATTGTTCCCCTGCACATTTCCACCTTTCCACTTCGATACGATAATAGACTGATAGTCCCGCTGGCTTGATTTGTCAGCAAACCGGCTACTTCTATCATAGTTATTAGAGGAGACTGGTTATGAAAAGCGGCAAACATCAATGATAAAAACAACAGTGCTGCAGTTTATGTTCAAAGCACCGTGAAAGTGCACAATCCTTTGTTTTCTGTTGGCAAATTGTTACGGAATAAATTAATGCAACGTTTTTATTGGTCAATACAATCAAAATGATAGGAATTCTTTTGAACGTTGTGCACTTTCAGGTCCACAAAAACATATAACAAAGGAGTCTGACGGGTTTCATAACCATTCCACTCAATTAGCTATGCTTCTATGTAGGAGAGAATGGTTCATCAGAGAAAACGACATGTACATTGCGAGACAAACGATAATTTTCTAGTCTGTTGCTGTGTCTAAAACGATCAGAACAACAAAAATTATCATTGTTTCCAAGCTTCTACCTTTAGTTATTGGTCCTTAATTTCGCGGGTACCTAATTTCGCAAATTTTGGCGAGACACTCATACGTATTTCACGGGGTTTTATATTCGCGATTTCAATAGGCAAAGGGTGTGGTTTTTCGGCGAGAATCCAAAAACAGATTTGTGATCTCAGATTTTATGGATTCTTCACCTAACAAAAAAACGGAAGATCTGAAAAAGGATCATTTACGAAGACAACGGCATGTCCTGGTGCTCCTCGTGATGAGAAAAACAGAGAAAAAAAAAACAAAAAACAAACTGATTCCTGCGCCGAAGACAAGAAGGAAAAGTAACATGAGCTAGGTATGAATATACGAAATGTATATATTTCGGTTTGAAACACAAACGTTTCTCGAATAGAATACACCTTAGGATTGTAAGATTATAAAAATTTAAAACTGAAGTCGATGAATTGTTGTTGTTGTTGTTTTTTTTAATTACTTGGAAAATAAACCGGCGAAAGCAGACACTACATACGTACAAAAAACATGACAAGTAAGGTTCATAAAAAAGTCTACGAATAATGTGAATCGATGAAAAACATGGAATTTTATGCAACTAATATGGCTCAAACTTAAGACGCCATCAACATAGATTCAGTTAGAACGTCATACATGTACGGCATCTGTTGCGTACCATTTTTGTTCGAAAAATCGCTTGCCAAAAATACTTTTTTCAAATCCTTCCCCCAAAAAGCGCTCAGATTTTGAATCTCAAAAATCCGGATTTGGATTTCATGAGAAGCTTTGCTCAAGAAAAAAAATCTCAGCAGGCGCCGGAAATTGATGCCCTAGTACGCGATAGAAAGGTGTTTGCTTGGTGTCATAAAATTAATTACGACCGGAACATAGTAAGTAAACCAGACACCGAGTATCCGCGAGAGACGCGTCATTTAAGCGCGAGGCAAGGCGAGGAGCCAGCATCCCACGCAACCGTTTTATTGCGGCGTGACCTTTCTGTTTAAAATGAAAAAGATTTTGATCATTCGAAATGTATCTTAAAAATAAAAGCTCGCGTCATCTACCCGTAGGGTAATTTACATGATAAACAAATCCAGATCGGACTGCCGGTGATTTGGACGGGGCACGCGAGGGTTAAAAGACATTACGTTAGAGAATTTTATATTTCCTTTGTCACTTTGATAAAATTTTTGAAGGAGCGACCGGTATTTCATGTGGAAATGTGTGACAAAGCGCCGCAAAAACTTGTTTCCAGTGCCGCTCAAATGAATGGACGGCAGCGTACATGTACGATTTTTTTTGTTTTTGATGGTCATGCAGCGATCATGCGATGTGACCGAGTTAAATTCTTACTAATTAATTAATATTCTACCTTAGACTTTCAAAGTTCAAAAGCGCTATGGTTTTGATTTCGAAACCATTTAAAGTGAAGGCGACCGTCGACGGTATGAGTCTTCGTTTCCCATTTCGAGTCTGTCGAGGGTTACAACCCCCAAAAGCATTGGCATGCACTCAAAAAAGAAATATGTGGAGTCCGGCTGACGGTTTTCTCCAAAAATGAAGTATTTAGGAGATTTCCTGACGAAAGACGTGGCAACGCGGGAACTTGAACCCGCCAAATCGGCCTATGCCGAAGTGGAATTCAACATGATGCCAGCTACTGTGTACGTCGCTTCCACGTTCGTTTGATCACTGATGTTCTTCGCCAGAATATCATTCCACCGGATGGCCTTGTAAATTCTGTTACGGACTTAAGTTACATATTAGTGATATTAGACTTGAGGTAAGTTTGTTTTTAGTCAAATTATTCCCAATACAGTGAGGTATTTCTGTTTTCTGGTCACTTCAATTTAAAGAAATCATTTAGCTTTATTATTCTGTTTCTCTTCGGTAGTCAGTTTATTTATGGGCTTTTGTTATCTAATGGCAAAATCTAATTTTTATCATGCTTATTTTGTACTAACTGGTTTTGTTTCTCTTGGGTAGTCAGTTCATTTATGGGCTGTTGTTATCTGATGACAAAACCTAATTTTTATCATTATTATTTTAAACTAACTGGTACTGTTTCTCTTGGGTAGTCTAATGACAAGACCTAATTTTCATCACAGTTTTCATTTTGTACTAACTGGTTCTGTTTCTCTTGGGTAGTCAGTTCATTTATGGGCTGTTGTTATCTGATGACAGGACCTAATTTTCATCATTTTCATTTTGTACTAACTGGTTCTGTTTCTCTTGGGTAGTCAGTTCATTTGTGGACTGTTGTTATCTGATGACAGAACCTAATTTTCATCACAGTTTTCATTTTGTACTAACTGGTTCTGTTTCTCTTGGGTAGTCAGCTCATTTATGGGCTGTTGTTATCTGATGGCAGAACCTAATTTTCATCACAGTTTTCATTTTGTACTAACTGGTTCTGTTTCTCTTGGGTAGTCAGTTCTTTATGGGCTGTTGTTATCTGATGACAGGACCTAATTTTCATCATTTTCATTCTGTACTAACTGGTTCTGTTTCTCTTGGGTAGTCAGTTCATTTGTGGACTGTTGTTATCTGATGACAGGACCTAATTTTCATCATTTTCATTCTGTACTAACTGGTTCTGTTTCTCTTGGGTAGTCAGTTCATTTGTGGACTGTTGTTATCTGATGACAGGACCTAATTTTCATCATTTTCATTCTGTACTAACTGGTTCTGTTTCTCTTGGGTAGTCAGTTCATTTGTGGACTGTTGTTATCTGATGACAGGACCTAATTTTCGTCATTTTCATTTTGTACTAACTGGTTCTGTTTCGGATTATTATTATTATTGTTTATTGCTATTATTATCAACATCATTATTGAGTGATTTAAAACTATTTTTCTTTGACACGGGGCTATAATTTGCAGAAGGTGATGGAGTGTACACTGATTTGCTTTAGTTTTCTTTCAGAAATTCACATAGAATTTACTTTAGTTACAATTATTGCTTGGGTAATGAGATAAACTTTCAGCGACACAATGTGACAAAATTGTTTTAACCAAAATCATGATAACACCATCAAAACGTTTTTATTATTAGTATTATTCGTTAAATTCAAACGATGCTAATATATGTATGTAAAAATGAAATTATCTTGTCGCTTGTTACCGAGCTATCCGTACTGTAAAACGTCAAATGAAAAGTTATAACACTCACATGTCCAGTAGTTCTTACAAATGGTTTTGTCAATGAAAATCGACGACAAAAAATTCCCTTCTCTGGCTTAATTAAGAAGCTTGGGTTGTAAAAAAATGTGTTTGTAAAACACAACCGAGTCAATTATCGTACGTTAAATAAATCAAAGCATTACTTTAGCAAAATAGAATCTTAGGGTTAAGTTCCCGAGATTACTTCAAACCCTCTGGTTACCTTCCCTTCGCCGTACCCTGTGAGCTTTGCGTTAGATCTCACGGTTTATTATTATAGAATCAAGTCGCTATTAAAATGAAGCTGTTATGGGGTTATAAGTCAGTTGTAGTTACTGATGTCCAAGAATTCCAAATGTTCCTGTTTCGGGAATCGTAGTTTCTCTGGGATTAAATCATTCTCATTGAGTAAACATTAATTTATCACAGGTAAGTAAATGTACTTAATTTATCACATCGAACCTCGTTGCTGACGCCGTTTTGTGTAATGTTCCAGCCGACTACACAGTAATAGAAAGAAGATAGTATACTGTTCGATCGACATAATTGCAAATAATTTCATTCCTCCCGTAAGAATAGATTTAGGCCGTCATTAAAATGTTTCTCGGGTGGTAAACCTTAGCTTCTATTAATATTTTATGAGTCGGCAAAGGGTTGACGTGTGTCTCCACGCGAGTAAAGCCAACAAATGCGCGTCCGTATCTGGAAAACCTTTTTATTATGTCAAGAAATGTCTTATTTACACGTCTCGTGATTCCCACGCCGGGTGTTTTTGGATGCCGGCAAGTGCGAAAAAAGTAATTACCGAGGATCCCAAAGTAACACCTCAGTCGTATGAAGGCGCGAATTGTGATCTCCCGTTTCAGTTAATCATAAGCCATGGGTAGATTCAATCTACCCTTAGCCTAATTTGCATAATTTTTTTTGGTGAGCAAAGCCCGTCATGTCCGAAGAATCCACCCTGAGTGTGGATTTTATGGATTCATGATGTGTTCTTGGATTTGCCCAAAAACACGCAATTCCGTTTTTGGATTCGGAACTGATCCGCATTTAGCCTGCGAGCAAGCTCTCCTATTTGGGCGAGTGACGCGAGTCTCGCGAGGCTCACTTCGCTTGCCCAAATAGGAGAGCTTGCTCGCAGGCTAATCCGCATTTGGATTCCCCCAAAAAAACGCGTCCTAAATTTTTATTCGCGGGTCTTTAATTAATCTCGCGAATCTTTAATTTAAAATCGCGAAATTAAGTACCAATTAAGTACCAATACGGTACCCTTATGCTTACATGGTACTGCGGATCGTTTGGTCCAAACGTTTCTTGCCATAAAACGACCTTCTTTCTCACCTGAGGAGCAAACTACACCTGCGTCTTGACTATGATCACAGTTTTGTTTTCCCCAGCCGTTGTGACGACACTCTGTCAATAATCTTTCATTACCACTACACCTTACGTCATCCATCCATATTGTTCCATTTCCTTGACCAAAAGTCGCAGACACGTGTGCTTTTACAGCTCGTTCAACTCCAAGCTCTCTGCAAACTACGTTAGCGTTTGTGAGGTTCCACGAGTCATCACACACTGTTCCCCAGGTTCCATTGTTAAATACTTCCACTCGGCCTTGCAGGATGGAATCTGTACCATTGACTAAGCGGACATCTATTGAGAGAAGCAGATAAGACTAACATCTAGTTCTCCTTGTATTATATCACTTTCAATCAATTAAACAGGAGGGGCATGATTCCCAGGACCACCTCTTATGAGCGACCGAGACCACTTTTTTGAGTGATCTTTTAACTGAATACGGTTGCAAATTGCAGGGTAATTGTGACAGCGCAGAACCCCCGATACATTAAGGACATAAATTTTGTACTTTTAGTAGGCAGCATCTCAGTTAAAATGAATGTACAGAACGATCTACGCAACTCAGAAACCAGGTGGCCTGGCCTATGGAAGGCCATCACCCCCGTAAACAACTACAAAACCTTGGCGAAATACACTCGTGGGAGGGTCGGCATTAGCTACGAATTCAAACCTTGAGTGTATTTTATATCAACTGTACTTTTAGCGCCCATGTATAAAAAGGGTAGAAATCCGAGACGTATCACAGCTGAAAGCGGAGCGCAAATTGCGTTCATCATGACGAGATTCATACGACTTTGAAATTCACCACAGGGAGAAAGTTTCAGTTTCCGGTGTCCTTGTAAAAACCTAATTAGGATTCAATTAATAGCCACTAATCTGTCATGACTTGTGTACTTTGCGTCACTGATGGAAGACGAGCGGAGATGAAAGACAGATACTATTTGTATCACAATGCGATCTCGCGCGAATTTGAAAGCCGGCACGAAAGTGGCGCGTTCGTCGGGAAAAGCATCTTCAGTCTTTGGACCCTCGCTTGCCAAACAAAGGTAATATCGTACGCAGTATCAGTGACTAAATGGTTTTACGACAGATATAATTCACGGCAAGTCAAAATTTTATGCTTTTTATGTAAAGATGACGTTTGGAAGTAGCAGGGCCGATTATTTATAGCTATTTATGATTTGGTCGATAGTACAGATAGTACTGGCGCTCGAGTCAACCCATCAAGATTTGGTTTTTCAAAGAGGAAAGATCATGTTGTTAACGTTTCAACCTTAGCACGAGCCTTTAACTTGCGCCGATGAAATGCAGACGAAAGCGGGTTTAAAGCGATCAAAGAAGGAGTAAATTCCTTCCAGCTACTAGAAAATATAGCGGGAAGAGGTCAGAGAAGTCAGAGAAAGCGTTTCGTTGTGCGGAGAAGATCTCGAAAAGGTACTTGGTCGTGGATTAATGAATTGGGGAAAATTAAATGAGGGATTCATTTGAGAAGCAATATCGTATGATTTCCTGACGGTGGCAGATGACCGTCAAGTCAGAAACTCGGGCATTCACGTCGTTGTTGATTATGTAAGCTTAAATGATTTTTATTGTCGCTGACTGGATTTAGCCTGAACGGTGATGCTCTCCAGCCCTTTTCAATTTTCTAAACATCGTCCGAAACTTGGTAAGTCTATTTTGGGTTCCTTTGTATCATCTTCAAATGGATACCTATTATCATTTTGGCGCAAAAACGTTTTAAGGTCGACACTGATCACTCGATCATTTCATAAATTCTCAATAACTGCTAATGATGTGAAAGTGTAATGTTGATGGAGAATGTTGATGGAGATCACTATTTCTTAAGCCTGATCGCAAACGAGTCAGAGTTCAGTTTTTAAGTGTGGATCGTAGTGGATATTTTCAATTTTATCGAATCCCTTTTAAGAAAACAGGAAAATTTATTTTGCCAAAGCGGCCAGTGGCTATCAACAGTTAGTAAAAGTGAGTAAAATTTCTTAAACCAAAAATTGATTTACAGATTAAAGCTTTATTTAATTTTGCACTGATTGGATCCGTGAAGATGATAGTGTATGCCCCACATTAAGTAAAACAGTTTGGCCTTCCTGATGCAACAGAGCAGCTTAGCCTTTTTAGGCTGTAGCTCTGTGAGAATTTTATTCTCCGGGTGTCTCAGAGGCAGAGGGAACTAAAAACTCGCTTTTAGATATTGTTTGAATCTCTGTCCAGCATTTAGAAAAAAAGTTTGGCCTTCCTGATGCAACAGAGCAGCTTAGCCTATTTAGGCTGTGGCTCTGTGAGAATTTTATTCTCCGGGTGTCTCAGAGGGAACTAAAAACTCGCTTTTAGATATTGTTTGAATCTCTGTCCAGCATTTAGAAAAAAAGTTTGGCCTTCCTGATGCAACAGAGCAGCTTAGCCTTTTTAGGTTGTGGCTCTGTGAGAATTTTATCCTCCTGGTGTCTCAGAGGGAACTAAAAACTCGCTTCTCAGATATTGTTTGAATCTCCGTCTAGCATTAAGTAAAGCGGTTTGGCCTTCCTGATTCAACAGAGCAGCTTAGCCTTTTTAGGCTGTGGCTCTGTGAGAATTTTATTCTCCGGGTGTCTCAGAGGGAACTAAAAACTCGCTTTTAGATATTGTTTGAATCTCTGTCCAGCAGTAAGAAAAAAAGTTTGGCCTTCCTGATGCAACAGAGCAGCTTAGCCTTTTTAGGCTGTGGCTCTGTGAGAATTTTATTCTCCGGGTGTCTCAGAGGGAACTAAAAACTCGCTTTTAGATATTGTTTGAATCTTTGTCCAGCATTAAGACAAAAAGTTTGGCCTTCCTGATTCAACAGAGTAGCTTAGCCTTTTTAGGCTGTGGCTCTGTGAGAATTTTATTCGCCACGTATCTCAGAGGAAAGCTTTTTTTTTAGACATTATTTAAATATTGCAAAATTAGTGTTTCGCTTACATTTGTATTTAACCCCATAGAGATCCAGTGAGGCCTTTAAAACAGCGCGTCAATTTTAAAAGTTTTTTCATAAGGCAGTTTCCGTTTAGCGCTTAGTGTTAGTTCTGCCCTTGAATGAAGTTTCCATTAAAAAAGCCTTGCGTTCAGACATAAAATTAGGGAGATCTTGTAAGCATGAATTGAAATATTTGAAATGCGGATGAAGGTAAGAAAGTGAACATGATCATCGCATTAAATTCGCAGCCTATTCGGTTGAAAAATAATCTGAAATATTTTGCAGCGTTATCGCAGAAAGTTAGAGGTAATATTATTCATTGTTGGGGAAAAGACTCCGCGGCTTTAAATTAATAATATCCTCGATGTTTTAATTCCGGTAGTGTAGTAACCTTTCCGTTAAGGCAGCTTCTAAAACGCACTCGAGAAAACCGCACAGTCTCTGTGAACTCTGACTTTCACTTGCGAGAGAGGCAAAAAGAAAATAGAGTGACATTACTTTCAAACCATTACGGGTTACCTTAGGCCGCGGTTTCAGAAATCATTGGACCTCCAGGCCTCTTAATTTCTTGGTCGGTTAGTTTAAGAAAATAAGTGCTTTAGTTTTCCAGTCTGCCTTATATGCTGTATTGAAATTATTCACGATAAATAAGGTTTGATAAAAGCGTTGGTTAAACAGAAAAGGGCTTAATTATGACGCGATTTTGTAATATACCAGCTAAGTAACTGGCGCTTAGTGTTTAATAAATACAAGTAAAGAAAATATACAATGGAAAATTCCTCAGTAAGAAGTGCGTAAAATCACTCTTCTCGAAGTACAATAAATTTTAAGAGCAGCCACTACAGAGGCAAATGCACTCCGGTTCGGCAGAAAGACTTCCAATGCGGCTAATTTGTAGCTGAGTTCTTTGTTGAACCGAAATCTTGTTGACGTACAGGAATTCCGTTGATATGAGAATTTGTCACCTCCAAGCAAATGAGCCGTAAAAAGTTGATTAGGGACGGACCATTAGAAAACTTATGGGGGGGGCGGGCGAAGTACAAAAAAAAAATTCGCGCAAGGGAAAATTAAATGAAAAAAAATTCATGCACGCCAATTAACCCTAAAAAATATTCATGCAATGGCCTAAATAAAATTCATGCAAAGAATCTGATAACGAAAAAAAATTCTTGCAGCTCGAAAATTCCCCTCCCCCCCATAACTTTTCTAATGGTCCGTCCCTTACTTCTACAGAGCTCCCCTGCTGATGTTCGCCTATTGAATAGGCGAACATCAGCAGGGGTCTACGATTTCAGATCTCTATGAATCTCGTCATGCAATGAAACATTTACGGCCAAACTCACTTAGCGGCGTGAAGGCCCGGGCGTGAAGGACTGTATAACGATGCATTAATTACTCAAAAATAACTTTTTTATTACTTGAGCACAGGACACCTGCGTCTTCGTCATGATCACAGTTTTCTATTCCCCAACCTCTGTGAGAACACACTGTTAATGATCTTTCGTTGCCAGTACACGTTACGTCGTCCATCCATATTTCTCCATTTCCAGGTCCAAAAGCAGCGGACTTGAATGCCTTTATAGCTCTTCCAAATCCAAGTTGGCGACAAACTACTTTGGCGTCATTAAGGTCCCAGTCGTCATCACACACTGTTCCCCAGGTTCCATTCTAAAACACTTCCACTCGGCCCTCTGAGATGTATCCACCATTGACCAAACGAACGACTACAAAATGACCATTCAATTAACTTAACACATTTTGTCCTTAAAATTCGCCACTTTAGAAACGAGACTGAAGCCCCAAAATGCGTCCCGCACGTATTTGTTTCTGGGATCCTTAGTGGGGACGCGCGCAGATTAGCTATTGGCCAATTTTGTTTTTCGCTGTCCTTAATAACAGTCCCAGACCTTTTTGGGAAACTTAACTCGGCCAAGCTCCCTTCTAATTTTTAAAATATTGTCTGTGTAAGTGGGTTTGAGTAGTATATTGAGCATTCTTGACATCAAAGCACCGCCGAGATTTTTCAGTTTTATTTCAGTATAACCAGTTGTAAGCCGTCGAAAAAAATCTCTATTCATAGGTTTGGAAGGCTAGAAGGCGATGCATTTTATTTTGACAAGGTGATACATATTGAGGTCATCTTCGATTAACATGAAACAAACCAATAAAGTAACACACTCCCCGCTTTCACGAAACTTTCTACTGATCAAATGTCTTGAATATTAGTACTTCCGTGAATAGTCTATATGTTATTTACTCCCAAAATCAGCATGATACCCACCGTCTTTGCTCCTTTCAGCATGAAGAAACTTTAGACCTGAAAAGAATTTGATGACGCACAGGATTAGCTTAGGTGGTAGACGGGAAGGTCACCGGAAGGTGACTGGCTCTATCCCCGGACTGGCTCTATCCCCGGACTCTAAGAGTTACCGACCGGAAAATGTACTGTCTTTGTCCTGCAAATAGCTTTTACTTCTGCGCGGTTCGGGTGGCTTAGTGGAAATTACTGAGCGATCTCTTCTCCACTAGAAGGCGTAAAAATAGAGTCGTCAATCAATATCTTCTGAACATAAAAATTAAATAGTACTGGATTTCGCTTTTTGACTTGTATTTAGCAGAAAAAAAAAACTCCTCTTACCTGAAAATAGAAGTAAAATGATCGAAAAGGTGATGTTATCGCGAATTTTGTTTGTTCTGAGCATCGCTCTTGTCATTTGGCCGGTCACAGACTCAGCAGCGTTACAGCTGGTTGCAATAAAACAAGACTTACATACACATCATTTACTCTACTGCTAAGTCTTGAACTTCATCCAATAGAGGCCTTGAAAGGAGTGTCGTCATGATCAGGTGTCAGTTTAGGTAATAACTTTCTGCTTATATTTAAATCATGATATGCCAAAAGAGATTTTTCGGTTTTTTGTCCTTTAACAAAACGAAATAAAAGGTCACCCTGGAATGTAGCGTAAAGAAAATGAAAAACCGTTCGCAAAATCAATTAAAGGAGGATTATTCTAGTATCTCATGATGCATCCCGTAAGTATATACATCGCTCTATCAGTGTCAAATTCTAATCAATAGAAGTGTAACGCGCTGAATAAAGATTTTGGAACTCGTTTACTTCTTCGTTTATGCAGTTGTAGAGGTAAACGTTGTAGATATCCAGTTTTGATTTTTTTGTATGGGTACGTGTTCCTCGAACTCAGCGAGCGTTTGATGTTTGTACGATGTTTGCTACTAAGGCGAAGTCCTGCTTGCGCCTTAAATCCTTCTCTGAAACCCGGCCGTTACCAAATCTGTGCATTTAATCTCTTTCCATATAACGTTAATTATAACTTATAATAACTGAAAAATTATAGGCAAAAGCAGCAATATACATGTAACTAAGTATTCACCACAGACATTAATGATAATTCCCTTCTTTCATTTTTAAAATCGGAACGGTCTGACCGGCCAGTTCTGACTTTTGGAAAACGCGGCCCTTATAACATTCTGGGAAGCTTTAACCCCTACCTCCCCCTCCTCCACCTCAAAACAACACCGCCCCCACACTGATATTAGGGAGTTTACGATACCACTGCAGCGACGGCCGCGAAAATGTCGCTAAATAGTGAATTTGCGTTCTTTCAATTTCTATGGCGATAATTCCAATTCGCTTACTTTGTCAAATGCAAGCGAACTATTTTGAAGCCGTTCACGTCCCCTATAAAACGTGAAATTGGGCTTTTTCACGAGTAGGGACGGCAAAGAAATATACACTGTAAATGAAAAAGATCTGTTTCAGCCCCAAAGTGTCAATTCAGCCCTGCAGGCCAAAGTCTGATTCAGCCCTTGTTGGAGCCATTTGAGCCCAATTTAGGCCAAAAAAGCTCTATCAAAAGGCTATTCCAGCCCACGGTAGGGCCCATTTCAGCCCTGGGACCAAATCAGCCCTATCTAATTGGACTGTATTGGCCCTGATTTAAGGGAGCCAAATTAGACCCAAAAATAGGACTGTATTTTACTCACCGAAACGGCCCTGTTTTTAGGGCTAAAACAGATCTTTCTGATTTAGAATGTACAAAAAAGCATGCTGCACGTCAAGAGTGGTTGTTTTTCCTATTCAATCGATTGCTTTTTTGACGTTCTCTTCTCGTTGTCGTCGCCGTTGTGGCATCTTAAAGTCCCTAACAATGGAACGAGTTACCTGTATTTTTTTTACAAATCTTTCTTTAAATTAAAATATCATTAAAAGAAAAGTAATGTTACATGATGTCCCTCAAACGTCTTAAAAAAGACTTCTGTGATGAAGTGGACACGATAATTGTGAAAATTAATATGAAAAACATATTCTCAGGTAAACCCCCTTATCCTTTTTCTTTTTCCTTTTCGATCCTTTTTCACGAGTATACTTTTTTAAAAAATATAATTTTATGTCACAATTGTAATATTAATTTTAACGTAATTAAGTAGCCTGGCCTGACTCGACTTCTGGGCCATGTTTTGGTATTATTGGTTAGTTTTCTTTCGTGGTAAAGTTAGGTCACGTATTTAGCGATCAGGCTAAAGTACACCTGAAAAAAAAACAACAACGACAATAATCTTGATTTACTTTCTAGAGTTAGATCGCGTGATCTGTAAGTAAGAGATAAATACCGAGAACGGAGACAGTGAGGCAATTCCCCAAGTCAATCCAGAGATTTTGAATATCACTGACAAGAACGAACTTAATTATTGGCTCAGCAAATTCGTCGTTGAAGTCTAAATTGAATTGCAATTAATTGCAACGAGAACTTTTCAAGGGAACTAATTTCCCATTTTTTTTTCGCTTTTGGGTTTGTTTGTATAAAATCCATCAGTCGAGGGATTTTTCTGTAAAAATCCCTCACACGAGGGACTTATACCAGATAAATTTCTAATTTTAGATAGTTATGAATTCAATCCCCGCTCTTCCCTGCTACGTTATCAAGCCCTCCCCGAACTAGCTTTCAGTTTGTTGAATATTCAAGAGGGCTGTACGTTAAATAAAGGTTGTTCAATAACAAAAGAAAAGGTGTGAATCATGAAATAATTAGGCTAAAGGTGCGTAGGCTAAAATATTTGCATAATGGTGCACGTTCTTTGGGTCTGTGCGCTTCGCTCGATCAACTGAATAATGCGGCCTGTTATACGCAGGCAGAAGCTGTGGAAGGTTTTTTTTTTACTTCTAAGGTAAGTACACTATCTTAAAGTTTTTAATTTTAGTTCGGATTTTGTATTCCCAGGTATTTTGTTAATTTATGTCATGTTGTTTTCAGTAGAAATGTAGAACATATACCTCTCGGTGTTGCTCAAAACTGCAGCGATAAAGTCTTGCAGTGTCCTTGCGTAATGGCTGAATTTTAAATCGCTGAATCCATCCGTCGACGATGCTCTTAGCCTCGAGTTTATTTTTGGTAACTTTGGACCATCCAGGTAGGAAATTAAATTGTTAGTTCGGTAGAATATTGGTTTTGAAGATTTTATAAAATTATGAAATAAGAAACCAGAACATTACAAGATATGCTGTTATCTAGTAGGCTACTTTGTCAACATTAGCTATAAATGAGCACGCAAGAGAAGACCTTTTTAAGTGTAATTCTTGTGTTAGAAACTGGATGGTTATCTAGTTCTGCCAAAAGAGTTGTTTTTCAGTCGCCATTTCTCACGTGAGGTTTTTAGCGAGAGTACTGGACGCAAGTGACAGAAAAGGTGGTGGAGAAGGGAACGGGGGGGGAGGGGGGGGGGGGGGAAGAGTGGAAGGGAGAATTTTGGTTTTATCAGCTGCTTTAATGAAGTAGATTGGCCACCGCAGGGTGAAAAGGTGATTGATATTAGGTTCTCAATCCCGCTAGTATCCAATCTACTTTCTCTGCTCAAAATGGAAACAAACTAACCCCTCCTTTCATCATTTTTCGATCTTTCGTTCGTTTAGCCCCTTGAATGATCATGAATATGGGAGAGAGTAAAAGGCTCGCAAAATTCAACCGTAAGATGTAAAGTGGGGCTCCAGTAAGCGATTAACTCTCCAAATGCAATGATGCCAACGTGCATGACCTCATTGTCCCTGTCTTCCACTTAGAGTAGGCCATTTGCGAATTTGAAAACTCTCACTTTCAAAACGAGGCTTGAGATGCAAAACCTTTCTTGTGAAAATAAGTTTCTTTTGCACCAGTTGGAATAAAAATCATTTCCATATCAGTGGCTTTGCACTTGGCCTAGCTTTGAAACAGAGGTTCAGGACCACCTGAAAATGGCCTATTCCACGCAGGCGCGTTGACCTGTAAAGTTTACAGAGCTCACGCGACGATCTTCATTCTCGATCCTGACAAGATGTTAAAAGTTTATTTGCATCTTGAGCTTCCGAGCATTTAACATTATAGTTCGTTGCTAGGTTGATCGTCATTGCCATATGAATCATGTTGTACCGAATTTGGAGAGCACAATCGCCGCCGCTTCAGACCACTTAAGTGTTCAAGGCCATTCATAGAACTTATTCCCTTAAAACTCGATAATTCGCACAAGCAGTAACAGTA